CGGGTGCCCCCCCCCCCCCCCAGCCACACAGGCCCCCTCCCCGGGCCGCTCCCAGGTTCTTGGATGCAGAAAGGACCTTCCAGTTCCCGAGCGGAGGCACCCCCGTTTCCCTGAGTTACCCCGACTGACTCGGACCTGGGCTTAGTGAGGCATCCGGGCCGGCAGGGAGTGGAGCGCAGTCTCAGCGGCTCCCTTTCCCCCGAGAAAGCGGGAGCCCTTCAAGCCAGCGCCCGGAACTCTCGGGGAGGGAAGATAGAAAGGGGTAAAAATTAAAAAAAAAAAAATCACCCAAAACATAAAGAACTATCCAGCGAGGATCGCGAGGGCTAAGGAGAGGTAGAGAGAAAATGAGGGAGGGACAGGGATACTGAGAGAATGAATCCTGCTCACTAGAGGAGCTGAAATTACCTTGATTCATTTTGTGGGTTTTTAGCTAACCTTCCCTCTACCCAGCCTCCACCTCCTCTTTCCCACTGCACACTCCCTCCATCGTCTGATTCTAAATGGTACAAAGTCAAATTTTAGGAAATCGAATGTTGTGTAAAAGCTTCATAATTAGTAATGAATCTACTGTACATGCATACACACCACACACAAGCAAAAAGAACGGAAAAGAGGGAGGGGAAGGGGGAATGAGAGAGATCTTACATTTGAATCAGATATTTGCAGTTCCAAGTTAACTAAACTCATTATATCCGCAGGAAGGTTCAGCTTCCCCCACCTCGATTTGCCCTAGGTTCTCACCTAGGGCAATTTAAACTGGGCAAATACCAAGAAACAACCCTTTCTCATGCTCTCCTCCACTTCCTCCGCTCCACTACGCGTCCTTTCCGGAAGATCGAGTATCAAAATAGCCTAAGAATTGGGGATGCAGGGTCCCCGCCCCGGTGCTTACCTTCTTTGCGGCTTACACCACCCCGGTGGCTAGATCCTGGAGATAAACACTTGCATTTCCCAAAGTTAACCCAGTATACCAACCCGGAGCTTGCCAAGAGTCTATTCCAGCCTACACCGCTAGGAAGCCAACTTCAGCGAGCTCAATGAGGGGACCAAACTGGGGCTCGCTCTCCAAACGCTCCGCTCCAAAATCTGACTCTCTCTCCAGCCCCGATCTCAGTATGAGCCGAACCTCGTAAAAGACGCTTTTTAAGGGCGACACCGGGTTGGCTTGACAGCGAGGAAAAGAATACCTGGATGAAGTACTACCACCTCGGACAAATCCGCTGGCTCTGTCCAAGGTGCTGAATGGACTCTGTTAGCCCGGATCACACACCCGGCGCAGCAGGAGGAAAAGGCTAAAAAAAAAATCTCTAATTAAGTGGTACTTGATATTGCTCTAGTCGGTTTCTTCCACTTCCTTACGTTTTGTCACGTGCGGATGGCTTTACCAAAGCCATCCTGTTAATAGTTGATCACATGTTGATGAGATCCTTTTCATGTATGAGAGCATTACCCATTTCATTATCTATGATAGGCGCGTCTGACTTATTCCTCTCGCCCCCAACTCCACCCCATCCTCACCTTAACTCTTAGTCTCTAACCCATTCTTACCCTCTTCACTCCCAACCCCAATCTCTAACAACATTATCGTTTTTAGATGGGAATTAACCCCTTTGCGGATGTCAATTACATGCCCACATATAAATCATACAATATCCTCATACACCATACAGTAAAGCAAATAACGGAATACAAGAAGGCTGGCAGACAAGCTTCAGCTTTGAACTGCCAGTTTAACAACCCCCTCCAGTTCCAAGTTTGTTCCACGCAGTTCCACACTGCTGTGTTAAATCTCAAATGATTCCAATTAAAGTTGCAGTGGGTAAAACCCGATTCCCCTGGCCTGAATAGCTGCTGTTCTTTGGCGTGTGAAGTACTAGGAAGAGCCGAGATATTCCTGTTGTTAGGCAACATGTCAAGATTTTCAATTATAATGCAGGGTTTATTGCTACTCACCATTGTGGCTTTGCTGTCCTGGAGACTCAGTGTCTTAAAATCTCGTCTCCCCAACAGATGCTGGAAGGTAATGTGTCTTGTTTGAAGTCATCATGTGAGAAGTTCGGCTTTGCTCAGTGGATCGCCCACCACTTGGTGTGACTTATGAATCTAATAACCCTTTGCAATATCCGCAAGCTTAAACTCTCAACCACCTTGACGACTACAGAAGACAAAGCAATTGGCATCGATGTTGAAAAACCTATAGATTTACGCAAACGCCCTCATTTTGAGAGACACGTTTCCCTTTGAGTTCATACGTGATTCTAATGAATGAGCGAGGTTACCAATGACTATCCAACTGCCCTGCTAGATAGCGGGTGTTTCCTGAAGCATCCTTCTCACCGCCTTTCACTGCGTCCTGGCACAAAAAGTTCCCAGAGAAAGTGAGGGAGTTTCAGAGTACCCCCATAAAAAAAAAATAATCCAGTCTGCACACCGCTCCTTTGCCCACTGCTCAGGTCACACCCGGGGCTCTGGTAAAGATGAGCTCGGCTCAGGAGATTTCCCTGTCGTCAAGTAAGAAAACCTTCGCCTTGTCAGGCTAGGGCGGGAAGACCGCTGGGGAACTTGTTGCTTTTCTGCACCAGCCGGCTACCGCTTTAATAGGAATACCAGAAAAGCGCAGCGGGGAGGGGGCGAGGGGAGGGGGCAACAGCAGCCGCTCTGAGCCAGTTACGTGACCAACTTACTGTGACTCTCTTGGTAAAAAGGAAACTTCTTAGAAAAGTTCGTGCCCCTCCCCCCCACCATGACTAAGGGTCTCCAGCGGACGTGGTCGTGAGTGATGATCAGATTGGGGGAGGGTGGTGGTGAAGCGGAGTGACTTGTCCTAAGGAACAACTGCGTGCATCGAAGAGCGCATCAGCCCCGTAACTTTCCCTTTTCCTCTTAGGGACTGATGACTAGGCGAGAGGCACTCGGGCGAGCCACTAGTTGCCCACAGGAACCTGTGTAAGCCGAGCTCTCAAGCGGCTTGAGTTGAATGAAGTTTTATGACTGCGTTTGCTCTAATGGCTCACGGCTTCTCAAATGCCAGTTAACAGCCCCTGTGTGCAGCTAGGTTCGCCCCGCAAGCCCCGGAGCTCTGAGCCAAGGGGTACAGGCTGGTGGGGGCGGGGAAGAGGGGGGATCTGCGCCAGACTCTGGGCTTCAAGTCGGATCGGTGCTTCCTCCCTCGGTACTGTCTTATCACGGGTGCTTCCCTGTAGCAGGGGTTGAGAA